TCAAGGGGCTGGGTTTCCTTGGTGTGAGCAGAATTTGCAGAAAACAATGTATTCCAGAGGAGACTGCTGGGACAGGATCATCTCCGCTCCCAGCCCTCGTAAGTGGAACAAGAAGTGAAAGGAGGCAGTAAGTGAAACTAAAAGAAATACATTGCATGCCAAGCTGATGAGTTTCTCTACTATTTTTATGCTGTTGTACTTCTTGATTAAGATATTAATGAGCTGTGTTTTCAAGTAATATGTTAAAAATAACTGTTTCCAGAACTGAAATATCTTCCACCAAATGTCGGTATATGCACTCATCCAGTTGGTGTTTGTGGAAGGAGCTGGCACATTGGTTGTGCCACGTCTCTGACCTAAATGTGATCTTTAGGCACAATACACAGCACGCTGACTCCAGTGGAACAGGAATCCTTAGAGGTGTGAACTTAGCCACTGAATCTGTAATCCTGAGATGTTTCCTGGGGTTGTCTTTAATGTGGGCTTCTTGGAGTCCACTATAAACTGCTTGATGGGTTAGAGATTAAACTGGGGCTTGTTATCTTTTAGCAAAATGCTGCTTAATCAAAATAGCTGTCATGATGGAGTCTTGAAATTATGCCCTTGACTATATCTTTTTCATTAGATGTTAATATGGTGCCTGAAGAAACTCTAATTATGCAGAGCCCCAGTGAAATATTGTTGTCACTGATGTTACTGAAAGTAATTGAGTTCTGAGGTTTCTTAATTTATGAATGAGAAAAGCTTTGATTAGGTTAAATAAAGATGGTACAGGAAGTTTCTGCTTAATCAGATGGGTAAAATGAAAAAGTCTGTGGTCCTGGAGGTGCTGTGTGGAGCACTGACATCCAGCTCCCCCAGGCAGGTAGTGCAGCAGTAAGGAAAGTGATTGATGGGGATGAGACCTGCAGGTTAACTGCTAGGGTTTGCCAAAGATAGAGACTCTCACAAACTTTTGGCTATGTATCCAGTCCTAAATGCACTGAAGATGGGGGTCTTCCTGCTGACATTGATGGGCTTTGGCTCAGTTGCTGCTTGCCAGCTGCAATATTTGCTGTCTCTATGGGTTGTCTGGAAGAGTGTGTGGGGAAAGCAGAGTTTGGCTCTTATTTATACCTGCATGGGACTTGTCCCTCTCTGCAAAGGAATCTCCCTGAGCAAGAAAGCACAGTTACTCCTCTGGCAGGAGGAATCCATCCCTGGTTCCCATAGAGAGGTTTGTTCATGCCAACTTCCTCTCCTTTAGGGGTTCTCTATAGCTGCCCAACAGTCATGTCCCATGTATTGAGCCTTGACAACGCAAGCGAGGCTTAGCAGACAGCACCCTGGGGTGAGAGATGAGTGAACTTCCAGTTGAGAAACATGGTCTGAGTGCATACCACTGTTACATCTGACTGTTTCAAGCTCATGCATAAAAGCCTGATTTTAGACACCAAAGGAATGCAAATGATAAGTGCACATGGGCCATGTGGCTCTTGGGCACCTCATGAAAGCAAACTAGGGTTTCCAGCCATGTAGGTCTTTACTCAGCTTGCAGTCTCTTACACTCATTGCAGTTGATCACTCAGAGGCAGCAGCAGGGAGAGGTGGCAGTGTCTTGGAGGTCATTGTGGAGGACAGGGAGTCCTTCTGTAGAAGATGCTCAAAGCCGTTGGTGTCCCTGTGCAGGAAGGGCAGGAATACGGCAGCATGGACAATTGCCCATGTTTTAACCACCATCCAGCACTGCCCTATTTGCTTACAAAAAGGCCAAACCTCTAATAACATAATTTTCATCCAAAGGTGAAATCATGTTTTGATGCCGGCTTGGATGAGTCCAGTGGGAAGCTGGTGTGCACTACAGGAGGGAGTACAGGTGGTGAGCTCGGTGCCAGGGTCCTTGCAGCATACCAGGTTTTAAGGAATGCTGTGATGTGGATTGTATATAAGTCTAACAAACAGTGCTTCGAGTCAAAGGCTGGAACTTGCTCTGTCACTACGGTGGTAATTTTGCCAGCTATTTTTGTGTATGTAGAGCTGGATCCCAATGATAGAGAGCAAAACCTGAAATATCAGATGACTAACAGCCTAAGCTCTGAATTTTCTGGCTTTGGTCAAAGCCTATCTCAGACTTATTGTTGGTTTAAAACGGAGCTATGTGTTCATGTTTATAGACTATTTTGATTTCCAACAACATCACTGTAGCAACAAATGTGCAGTTGATATATTTACTCTGGATTTGGGATATTTTTAACCTGGTCATTTAAACCATTTCTATTGGACTGGAATTTGGTACTTTTATCTCCGTGTTTTGTTTTAAACAGGTTTTTGTTTAACATTTGCACATTAAAAAGAGACATTCAGGTTTTCTTGATAATGTGTACATAAGTCCATTATACTTTGAATTGGAAATCATAGACTCATAGAATACCAGGTTGGAAAGGACCTTGAGGATCATCCGGTCAAACCTTGGCAAAGCATGACCTAGACTAGATGTGTGCCTAGCAGGGCACTTGCCGACCTGAAGAGGGCTGTGTGAGTCTTGGTGAACTGAAAAAATAGGAGACCTCACTCAGCAGGTGCAGAGTCCTTTCTGCCCTTAAAGGTTTGTAAATGCTGTAAATTCTGAGTGGGAAGTTCACACTATTTTCAATCATGGTTGTGTCCTTTCCCTCATGAGTACACAATTGTATACAGGCCTATCAAAACACCAAAACTAACCACCAGCAAAATAGAGGGAATTAAAGTCACCGCTCCAGTGTGGTTTCCCACCCTGTGGCATGGAAAAGGAAGCTGTAGTTTTATCATGACTCAAGCTCCAGCAGACTTGCATTGCGAGCTAGTTGGCAAGTGAATCCAAAATTGATTGAGATCCTTGAAGATGTTTCTGTTTGGTCTAGACATGACAGAGATAATCACACTGAAGGCATCTTATGGATTTATTTTTCATGGCTATGTTCTCTGTAGTGCTTATTACTCACCATTATTTGGAAACCTGTGCTCCTTTGGCTCAAGGACACCCTTGTCTTTTGTGTGAGGGATGTGACATTTCAAACAAAGCATTGTAGTTTCCTATTTTCATAGGAAGATATAATGGAGAGATGAATTTTGCTTCCTGGAAGAAAGCAGCATGCTCCCAGCAGAGAAGTCTAGTAAATCAAATTGATGGATGACTACCCTCAACCTCTCCATGCCTGTCAGACTGCAAGTTGCTGCCAGGCTGGCATTTCCTGGCTCCTCTGTGCGCTCTTTCCTTGCATGGACTGAATTTTTGTCATCAGCTGCTGCAATAGAAAAGGTCACCGGATAAAAGGCTTAATAAAAAGAATGGTTTCTGTGTTGGGCATCAGGAGGACCAGTTGCTACCAGTGGGTATTTTTAGAGTGGTACCTAAGGAAACAAACTGCTGTCCCACGAGCTGAATTAAAATAAGTTGGAAAATTTTAGAGCAAGGCAGTGAGCTTAAAGAGCAGAGTCATTGTTGATCAATCTAAGGACTGGCGTGTCAAAGGCAGCCAAGTGATGCTGGCCTTCTTATCTACATTTGTGTCCCAGTAAAGATGTAAACGTGAACAACTTTGAGCTCTTCAACTGACCAGAGAGCGTCTCTGGGTCTTTGGAAAGTTCCTGGTGCCTTTCTCCTGCCCGTGTGCTTAACCCATCTGCTATGGGTGTCCATCCTGGCAGCTCTTGCCTGCTCCCTGCCAAGGGGTGCGGATCGTGCCCCAGGCTGCGGGCTCCTCGCCTCCGGGCTTGTAACGCCCGGTCCTCGGCTCTCCCGGCAGCAGAGGCAGCTGAGGACCTGCAGGGCTTTGGCACCTACACAGGGTGTCAGTGTTGCTCCACTTCAGCACAAGGACTGAGCTCCTGGAAAGCGAGGCACTGGGAAAGGACAGCAAATCCTCTGCCTGCCTCTTGGCCTGTGATATCTGTTTGGTCTCTGCGTGCACTGTCTGACCTCCAGGCTCCCTCACTAATATTTCTGTGTGCTGTAGGTGACCGGGACCCAAAGCCGGGATGTCTCCTGGTGCCTTTTGCACCCCAGGAACAGCTGGATGACTGTGAGTGAATCACAGAGGTATATGCGTGGCACTGATTTTGTCTATCTGACAGTTCGCACTCTGTTAACTTTTCTGGCAGCAGGGAAACACCAGCAGCTGCCTATCCCAAGGTGGACAATCCCATGAAGCCCTCCCTCTTGTGCTCTACAGCTACTGCAATGGGCATGTGCCTGCTAGCTCACAGATCACTTTTACCTCCCGTGCTGCAGTTTGTGGCCTGCTCCTTTTGCAGGCAGGTATGGTTTGGGAAGTAATTACCTTTGATATCTGGCTGTGCTTCTCCCTGCTTGGAAAGTCATCAAGACCTCAGCCAAGCAGGGAACTGGGACTGCTATGCTGCCTTGAGCAAGGTAATGGAGCCAGTGCTGTGGACACAGGCACTGCCCACTCACCTGGGAGCTGTCCCAGTGCTTTGAGGAAATGGCACTGGGGTGGGCTGAACAGGCAGCAGCTTCTGGCTGGGGTGTGTGGGATGTTTGGAGTGAAGCAAAATGCTCACCTGGGACTGGCTTTCGGTGCTACAGCTGAATCTTTCTGCAGCTGTGAGCAAAACCTGCCCTGGGTTTAAACTGGGCTTGAATTCCTCAGTTGCCCTTTCCTATAGGATCAGACCCCTGTCACCACCTCTGGAGTTGATGGGTGAGTGCGGGGAGCAGAGGAGGGGGCACCCCTTTGTGCTGCACCGGCAAGCAGCTCTTGGGAGCGTGTGTTTTATGCACTTCTTTTGAATGCAGCTCAGCACAGCCCTAGGCTGGGAGGTGATCCCCTGCATCAGCATCCCGAGCTGGCAGGGCTCCCAGGACCTCAGACATGGCAAAAAGGATGTCCTCACCACACTCATCATTGGCCTCTAGCATGTCCAGGGCAGACACAGACCCCTTGGCACCAGCAGTGCTGGCAGCATCCTCCTCAGAGATGGGGCCCAAACTCTTAAAGCTTTGTTTAGAATATGAGTATCACACAGGTTTTGTGCTAGTCCTTCTCCCAGGGGTCAGTTATTGTGTCCTTTATGCTCTTATTGCTTATTGTCTTTTTTTGTCTCCTGATTTTCACCTTGGATTTTAAAAAACCCAAGCCAAAAGCAAGTACGCAACACACCTTTTTCCTTTGTACATGGGGAAGAGGAAAAAGCATAGTTCAAAAAGCAACATTTAGTCCATAGTAGGATAGGATGCTGGGAGTCTGTTCCTGCTTGTTTTCTTCACCTACACAAAGGATTCAGACTGGATATCTGGTGGCTTTGTGTTTCTCAGCCTTAATGAGAGGGGAAAAAATGGCTGCAGGACAGTGATCAATGTTTCAAGCCAGCTTTCAAACCTTTACCCAGCCTGCTGAAGGCGAGGGTTATTTTAGACCACCCTTTAATACTGACTGATATTGCATGAAGACTTTGCTTTAGAATACAAATCCCTTATTCTTTTTGCAATAAGACAGTCACCAGCTGTGATTGGGTAAGGGGGTGAGTGCTCCCACACGGGCTCCACTTCCCTTTCTTGTACCAGGTTAAATACACTGCATGTTTCCTGCTAACCCTTTGTAAGTTAAGATACAAACCTGTCACCGTTGCCTCTCAGCATGCCCCCCATGACAGAGGCGGTGGCCAGGCGAGCCCTCCTGTACTTCACGTCCTTGCGGTGCTGCTATGGGAACAGGGTGGCAGGGGAGCTGGTCTTCCAGTGCCTGCAGCAGCCAGGCACCTACTGAGTGGGTACCTCCAGAACCAGCATCTTGGGCAGCTCTTGGGAGGGGCTGGGATAACTTTCAGTCAAACAGTAGCATCAGGCCATGAGGAGCCATCCATTCATTAAATGAAACAGCTTCCATCCTACTTTAAATGTGAGCATACAAGTGATTTCCAAGGGAAGTCTACTTAAGAGCTGACATTCAGCTTTTATAGCTGAAAGGTCCATCCTCCTCTACAGTAAAGCATCACGTAGAAGCATTTTCCGACAGCCCAGCTTTGGCAATAGGGCACTTTCCTTACCTAAACTGCAGGAATCTACCCTGCAGCTTGGTATTTTGGGAAAAGGCAGAGTGACCTGTAAAGCCCCACATCCCAGCCGTTGTGAACATTTCGTTTCACAGAAAAAGTGGGCTTTGATTCCCTGGTTTCATTCCTCTATCTGAAGATAGTTATTGCAGGTTTGGTGCTTGCTGGCTCTGGGGTCGGTCCTGGTTTGAGGACTGGCTGTCCATGGGGTGACCCAACAAACCAAGCTGGTGGGTTCTGTGTTAGGCTTTGCTATGGGTCCTGCTTGGCCAGCTGGCCAGGGGTGTGCTGTTGTGCCCTATTCTGGGGCTTCTTGGGTGAGAAAATGCAAGAGCATTGAGGAACAGGTTGCTGGGAGTGCCCTATAATAGGCACTGTAGAGCAGATATTCCTTTGTGCCAGCGCTTGCTCCAGCTAGCTTTTTCTACACAAGTTAGAAAAATCCAGGAATGCTCCTGAGACCTGGCATTAGCGAATCACAGTTCACATTTAAATGCCTACTTTGTACAAGTTGGTTTTCTGGTCAGTGTGTGATTTTTCTCTTCTAGTATCGACTGAAGACATTCAGTGAGTCGAGGTTAAGCGAGTGGGTGTTTGAGCCCTTCACCAGTAAGTGATTACCCCAAATCCCACTGGAATAGCTCTTCTGAGATATGACCTATACATTGGAGCTGGGGTCTGTGGCAGTGCTCTTTGTCCAGGGCTCATGTAGCTCCTGGAGGTGACTTGATCCTGGTTTAACATGCATCAGGTGGATCTGCTCCCTTGTGGCTATTTGGACTCTGCAGCTCCCACAAAGCTGGGGCAAAATGCCTTTATAAGCCTAATTTGCTTCTCTCATTCTAGGGGAGGTTTTGTGGCATACCCTGGGAGCAGAGGCCCTTACTTCCCAGTAATTTCCTATCAAGTGCCACGTATAGGCAAAGATTGAGATGGACATCTGTGCGCAGTGAAGCTTTTTATGGGCCTGCTGAGGAGTGTGGGGGAGCCTCAGCCATGGATTTTGGGTAACAGCTAATCCCAGGTGCCTGTATTGCCTTGGGGGTTCTGCTGGGAGGGCTGGGGAGTGATGGGGACTGTCACGGTGGCAGGAGGATGCTCAGCACCTCAGGGTGCCGTGGACCATGTAGGGTCAGTACCTGGTGTGATGCTCACATGGGGATGCAGTCTGTGGGTCCTCAGCAGTGCCAGGAGCTGGCCAGCATCCATGCACCACCTCCAGCAAGATGGGTAAGATGCCATCCCCTCCTGCAGAGCCCGGAGCAGCTGCACCCCCCCCAGGGATGCCCCAAAGGACCTTTGGGATGGGGAGGTTGGGCATCCCCCACTCTTCCAGGGCAGGACATGGTGGTGCCAAATGCCCCGCTCAGCACTTGTCAGAGTGGGTCTTCCCTTCTTGTTAGCTGCTTGTCGAGCCCCTTCCCCATTGATGGCCTTGTGGGGCTGGGGGACCTTCCCCATGATACTCAGCTCCTCAGGCATCTTTTGCAGTTCTCATTTTCTTTGGGTTTTCCTCATTAAACACCAGTGAAAACAGTCAAGATCCCTTCTTCCTGGTGTTTTCTTCCTCTCGAACTTTGAGGACAAATCTTGCTGCAGCCTTTTTGAGAAACAGCAGTGGATAATCTTTCCTCTTTTGTTATTTTTTTTTTTCCAACGTTAGGAGAACATTAGTTTCCATGACAGATCCCATTTAGCTTTTGACAAGCTCTATAGCCAGACAATTTATTTTACTTTTTAAGTGAAATGATGAATAACAAAAAAAAGTACTTTCTTTTGCCAGCACTGCACAGATATTTGCCTTTGTTAAATAATTATTATTTATGACTCCTTTAATGGTCATACAGCACAATTTTATGATGTTGGATTCTTTCCAATTCGGGGCAGAATTTTATCACTGAATATAGATGCAGGAAGGGTGCCTGTGCATAATATGACATACCCAAAGTCCCCGGGAAGCTCTGTGCATGAATAATCTTCTGAGTTCAGGACTCAGATGCCATGGTCACGGCTGGTCCAAGTGCAGGGTGTGCCATGGGACAGGTCAGGTAAGGAGCTAGAAAACCTTCTGCCAGGCTGCATTTCCCATTCCTCTCAGCTCAGGTTCATTTGTAAAATCGCAACACATTCTGTCTTATTATGAGGGCTGGAAACATGGGGCAAATTCTGTTTTATTCCCCCTTTGCCACCCTGTATCCCAAAGTGGCTCATGTTCAAATCAAGCTTCCAGGTCCTGCAGTGGTGCTGAATGGGGCTGTCAAAACCCTGCCCAGGTAGCAAAGATGTCTTACCCTGTCCTCAATCAATAGCCTACATGTTATGATGGTGAGAAGGAGAATTTGCTTCTGCGCTGTTGAAATTGGGTCAGATCTTAGGCATGAGATAAGAAAAATGGTTTGCTGTCTTTCAGATGTGCTCATTTCTGTGTTTGGGGTTTCTGAATGAGAGAGGAGGCTTAACCCAGGGATGTGAGTGCAGCCATAAATCTTGCCTCCTGTCTTTATTTCTCCTTTTGCACAGATATTCCAAGGCAGCCAAAAGATGTATTGTTATTGCACAAATTTGCCACTTAAAGTTCATCTGATTAAATACAAATACTTAAAAGTATACTGCTAGCTAGGAGAATAAACAACATGTATAAAACCCCACATGTGTAAGAAAAAAAAGGCATTTCAACCAAACTGTGTCTAATTTGCATCACTAGTGAGTTTGACTGGAACACCTGATTGATCCAGGGTCACAGTTTATGAGCTATTTGGTACACTCTTCCTTTGCAATGTGTGTACTTGACATACACCTTCCTCTGCAATCTTAACTTAGCAATTATTTTGCTAATGCGCATAAAAGCTTTTGATTTATAAACCTGATGTGTTTCAATTTGAGCAGTCACTGCCTGTTTTAACTCTTTCATGTGCTTGTAGACAAGGTGTGTAACGTGCAAGGGATCCCGACACAGGCTAAAGCAGCAGAAGAGATGCCAGCTTTGCTCAGGCACAGGTCGCAAAAGGTACGAGGGGCTCCATGAGACATACTCTACATGCCTGTGTGCTTTTTCTACTTTCTACCATGAAGATCACCTACCAGATAAAGCAATACAGCAATAAATAATAAATACAGCAATAGCTTTATTCTCCATGGAAAATGGTTAGAAATGGACTTTCCCTGCTCTCATTTTTAAAAGAACTTTGATTTTAACATCTATGATTCTATTAGTCTATTATTATGGTGGTGTTCACGGCCAGGTTGAACAAAGCCTTGGGTGACATGGTTAGTGGGAGGTGTCCCTGTTCATGGCAGGGGGGTTGGAACTGGATGATTTTAAGGTCCTTTCCAACCCTAACTATTCTATGATTCATTCTGTGTGCTCTCTCAGCCCCAGTATTCAAGGACCAAGCTGGCATCCCAAACTTGTGAGAGCAGCTTTTAAGCCTTTGGAAAGTAATAATGTTTTGGCTTGCCTTTTTTTCCATCTATTTTGACCTTTCTGTTACAGGACTGTCACTTTTCCCTGCTCCTCTAGGAAACTGGAGGAAGCCTTGGGTTTTCCAATGAAAGCATGGGATGGGCCTGGATGGAACTGCAAACTCCAGTGCTGCTCTTAGGTCTGGTTCCTGCAGTGCCCGTTTGGGGTTTGGCAGGTTTCACAGCCTGTGCAGCCTGGGGAATTGTTACCACCCTCTCTTTTTACCAAACATGAAACAGGCTTTAGAATGTTCTTTAAGTGACAAAAAAAGAGAAGGTGCTGTTCTAAAGCCGTTTTGTTTATGTGGCTCCATTAAGTTTAAAATAACATAGGTGGTATTGTGCATATTCATGGCAGTCATTTTAAAGCATGAATCCACTGGGGCTAATGATGGCTTGAAGAGCCTTAATGAATCAGTTGTTAACTGCTGCTAATCTGTGCTGCACTGATGCAATCAAAATGCTCCATGCATAAGCATATGCCTCCTGCATCTGTTAGAAGCACATGCAGTGGCATCTTCCAAGTGACACTTGCCTTCCTACCGTTGTGTGGGGAAATTGTGATTATCCCTAATTAGATGTACAAATGCATTCTTTGACTAATTCCGCATTTACAAATAGATTTGAGGTTGGAATTAGTCATTTCTTTTTCCCAGCAAATATGTTGCATCCCATGAGTCACAGACCAGGGGGGATGTACGCGTGGTGCATGTGCTATTATTGACTTCTGTAGCTACTGAGCTATACAAACACTCTGAAATAAATCACTCCTGGGTCCACAGGACTCAAAATGGACAGTGTTTGCATCCTGTTTAAACCCCATTTTGTTGCATTCAAAGGTGCAATACCTGTTCTGGTTGGGGCAGCAAGACCTGTGTGACCTGTCAGGGAGAGAAAAAGCTGCAGCATTTCAAGCAGCTGGTGATAACCTGGTGAACAGCATGGGTTCAGAGCTGTTACTTTTATTCCTTATTCTACTACAAGGTTTGGGAGCTCAGCTGGGCTCCCTGAGGAGAAGCTGGGAGAGTATTGCCTTTGGTCAGGCAGAAACAAGGGCTTAGAGGGGCAGCTTTAGGCCTTAGTGATGGCAGCCTTGCCTGTGGGGCATGGTAGGGGCTGAAGCGGCTTCACAGAAGTGAAGGGTGTTCCAAGGGCACACAAGAACTCAGAAATGGAACTGAGCTTGGTACGAGCTGACGCAGCCCAGACTCAAAGCTGGGGCAATGTTCTAGGGCATTGGTGACCCAAGGCTGCTGGCTGTGGTGTTGCTCTGGCATTTCCCATTTGGGAGCTGTAGTGCCAGAGATAACAGATAGGGCTGAAAAAGATCTTAGTTTGTGAGGTTTAGCAAAAAGCCCGTTACCTGCCCTGCTGAGTGCTTCCTGAGTACTTTCCCATTTTGTACTAAATGTCTTCAATTTCCCTGCGTGAGCACCTTCGTTTTTCAAACACCATCTCTGTCCATCCTGGGAGATTGAAAATTGTCCCAGCCATGCCCACCTCACTGGTGGGACTCCTGGGGGGTGCACGGCCCTACAGCTACATGATCCCAGACAAGCACAGGTCTACCAGATGAGACCTCCAGCTCCTTTGGAGGCCATCGCCAGCTGCTATCCATGCCAGTGTCCTATGGGTAGTAGAGCAAGATGGTTCCCTGCAGTAGGAGCTGTGGCTTTGGAAAGGGAAGAAAAGACCTTGTCTGCCGCAAGGAGTTAATGGACGTAGGAGACACCAAAAGCTGTAGGGGAAGGTGATCACCATGAAGGTCTGATTTCAGGGTTATTTATGAGGAGTCATCCATGATTGTTGCATACACACAGTGATTAAGAAGCTAATGAGGGAGAGCACAAAGGTTGGGCAGGCATGACTGTTGTCCTTGGGAGCATTCAAGCATTAACTGGGCATTTAGAAAGAGCCTGGAGATAGCTCAGGGCCCTACAACCAGTCTCAGATTGGTTGTTTTCCCTTTCTCTTGCAGGAAGAGCAATGTCTTTGAATTTGTTTCTGAGCATCATCTGAACTTCCCAGGAGAGCTGCTCAGCAAAGTCAGTAGAGAGAGTATATGTAAAGATGAAAATCTGATGATGAATGCTACTCCCAGGCCAGAGGGGATCCCTTCTGAGTGGCTGTGAAAAAGGGGAATGTTCAATAGCTTCTCATGGTGACCAGCAGCTGCTATGGACACAGCAATGAGCCACTGCCCCTTGGTAGTGCAGAGCATCCTTAGTTTTCCCTGAGGAACTGAGAGTTGTTGGGTTTTCGGTCTGACAAAATGTGACCAACCAGTGCTGCAGCAGTTGGTGCTCAGTCGCCACAGGTTGCTTTTGGTGGCCATTGCCAGAGTAGCAGAACTCTCTCAGTAGTCATCTTCATCTCTCCAGTAATAGCAGGAGACATCCAATAGCACATCCATCCCTCGGGATTTTTCTGTTGCCCCTTGTGCATTTCCCACAGCTTGCACAGTACTGTCAGTGCTATTGGCTGCAGGCTTTGTAGGGAGACAGCATGGGACAGCAGCTCCTGCCCCCTGACAGAGCGCCTGCATGGCACTGCCATCAACAAGCAAACCAGGAGCTCATCTCCAAGGTAGGAGTCAGGATCCAGCACAGAGTTGCTGTTCTGGCCAGGGCTGCTCACTGGGCTGCTGTGGGTACCTGCAGTGCAGAGCCCTTAAGCAAGATGTCCATCAATGCTGACATCTCTTGTCCTCCAGCTCCTGTGGTACAGGGCTCCTGGAGGGAATCTGCCCCTATAAACCTGCAAAATTCTGGGGCAAAACAGTCCAAAACCGTCTGAAGCATGGTGTTCTCTCACAGCCAATGCCATTTCTGTACTGCTCAGTCCTCAGCCTGAGTTTCCTTTTTTAATGCAAATGCGAGTGAGTGAGGGTTTAACTGTGCCTTTTTATTATTTATTAGCTGTTTTTCAGTAACCTGTAGAAACTTTAGTCACGTACTAGGCCTGGGAGATAGGCAGCATCCAAGCACAAGCCAGCTCTCCCCCAGAGAGCTATTACTCAATGTCATGCATCTGTAGTGAAGACTTTGCATCTGGTGTTGCAGAATCCCTTTGGGTTTTGAATCATGCTTTAGAATCTGAGTCGCTCTCCAATGAATGCTTTAGATCTGAAGTCCTATGAGCATTAAAATCAGCGGGACTCTCACATAAACAGCTATCACTCCTGGCTATGCAAGAAGTAACTGCATTCGTAACTAGTTCTGCTTTGCCCCAAAAGCCCGGTAGGTCTGTAAAGTGCCCACATTCTGAGGGAAAACAAAGGCTTTAAAAAGCCTTTCAGGTTTAACAGTGCTGTGCTGCTGGAAGAAGGTGACAGCAAATCCTGATGGGGCACAGAGTCACCCAATGCCAGTTTTTAATCAAACCTGCCAGCTTAGGAACAGCAGCCTCTCCCCATGCTGTCCTGCTCTATGGACAGCATAAACCTCTGTCTGGAGAGGCCAGGCACTATTTTGGACACTTCTGCACTGCAAGGGTGGGATGGACATGCCTTTGTGACTCTGACCTTAGTGTTTATTCTACATATTGCCATTATTAGCCCAGATCTTCCATTGTAACAGGTGAAATGAATGTATTTCTCAAACAGGTCTCCCTTCTGCCCTGTTGGGTTTATTTCTTGCAGGTGTACCCCATCATTGACTTCCCTGGACCCGAGATCTCCCTGGCCTAGCAGTGAGTCATTGCAGAGCACAGAGCAGCATTGGCCACGTCCTCCTGCATCCTCCAGCAGGTAATGGGGAGCTGCTGGCATGTTCCCCTGCCTGCTGCACACCCTGCTAGCCATGGTGGATTAGAGGCTGGTTAAACACAATAAGATGTTGGGAATAGTCACTCATTTCCTTTCATTTAGAGGTGATCCTTAGCAAATGAAAAGGAAATTATAATTACCAAAGAGATCTTTGTTATCAAGTGAAATACCAGGGAAATAGTTTCTTTGAAATGCTTAGGAATTGAAGGATGTAGGTGACTGATGTTGTTCCTGTTCCTTTTACCTTTCCAAAGCCCTGGCAAACGTTATTTATTGCTGCTATTTTTATCTTAGAAGCTACTTTAGAACAAACATTAGGATTGCACTCCATCTGATTCTCGCTAGTGTGTCGTAATGTCTGCTGCTGCTATTATAAATATGATTGCAAATGCAAAAGTTTAGCTAGAACATACTGTCTTTTCACCCACAGGAAAGAGAAGGTTTCACATTAAAAATGCAAGTAAACTTCAAGACCAAAATAAACTTAAAGGGAGATGGTTTGATTTTCCATGTGGTCTGTCAAAACCAGCTCTTTGGCAAATTTCTGCCTTCCAACTTAATTCCAGCCTATAATTTCCACTTCTCAGCATCAAAGGCAGTTTGCTCACTAGGCTGCTGCATCCCAGCCAAAGCATCCCTTAACTGTATAGGCAAGCAGGTGCTGAAAACCTGCCCTGGCACATCCATGCACCACGTGGTATTTATGTTGATCCAGGCTGCCTTCTCCTGGCGCTTTCCTCATTGAATTTTTCACCCCCTCTGCCTGTGGTTGGCTGAAGTTGTTCTGCTTAACAATGAGCATCACTTAGAGCAATCTGGAGGAGGGTAAAATCTCCTCTTCTTTGCATGGCTGATGCTATTCTGGCTTCTTATGGTGTTGGCTGTGTGCTGGAGGTAAATATCAGGATCATAGATAACCTCTGGAGTTAGAGGGGCTGGAGCCCAGCAGACATTGAGCTTTATCTAAAACTGAGGCTTTGCACTTGTAATTGCAGCAGGAGGTGAGAGCCAGAGTGGGTCAGGAGACCTGAATGGCTGCTGAGCACCACAAGGAACGGAGCAAAGTAGGGCCCTCCATGAGGAGGCAAGGTGCCACCATAGCACTGCCTCCTGTGATTCAGCTGGGAATAATAATTACCACAGAAATGGAGATGAAAGCATCTTCCTTCCCCCTCAGACAGGAAGGGAGCAGAGCAGCAGAGGTTAAATATGCAGCAATTTTTGCTGCAGTAACACAACACGGTGCAGGCATCACTGGTGGAGGTGCCTAAAAATTGGGGCTTTTTTCTACACTACGTGTGTTGGTCTAAAGCAAGATACAGCACTTGCTCCAAAGTGCTTATTTAATTTGAAGTTTTCCTTTCCCAGAGTCAAACAATTGAGCTAATCTCCCTCACAGAAGTTCACTACTAGTATTCAGGGAAGCCTTACCTCTACTACATCTATGGGCTCCAGAACAAGGTGTATGCACTGGACTACCCTGAGAGGTGCTGCTGCAGCTGTGCCATCATCTGAGAGTTGGTGCTGGGAGAAAAGCATGATTCTGGCAGTGATTACCTAGTGAAACCCCTTCAGGGAGCAGGGATGCTCCAGGACCTTGCTCCCAGGCATGCTTGAGTGCAACATGCCTCTCCCTTCAAACCCCTTGTATCTCAGAGCTGGGGCCAGCTCCAGGACTCCTGCTGGGTGCATATCAGGCCTCTGGGTAAAGATTTCTCCCTTTGGATATTTTCCTTTCTCATTGCAATGCTGTATCATGAAGGTGATGGGTATCGACATTTTCAGTTCAGCTATGCAGTTTATGGCTGGTCCTTTCTTTGCCCATTTTATTTGTCCATTTTCCTGAGTTACTATATAATCTATAATGATGTATTTTTAAAAATCTATCCAATTAGCAAGTCAGACTTTAAAGGATTCCGTTTTTAAATACCCAGCATCTGAGGTTGTACCAATATGAAAATCATTGTCTAACAACAGGCTCCTACTGTTATGTGCTGTGTGTGATGCCCTTGGCAGCTGTGCCTGTGGGTTGGGGGCATGAGCTTTGCCCTGGGGCTACTCCTGGGCCTCATCCAGACAAGGGTCAGTGGCTCAAGTGCCTGCAGGTGGCAGTTCCGCCCTGTTCTCATTGTTTTCTCTATCACCAATCCGGCAATGTTTATCCCAGAAAAGCTTGCAGGAGAACTTTGGCTTGCTCTGGGTTTCAGGCTAATTTAATTTAAGTGCAAACACTAGTGTTTGCAGTGTAGAACTTGAGGAGAGGAAGCAAACAGACCCTACAAATTTCAGAAACGTGCAAGCAAACAGAAAGACACCAACATTCATATTTAAACACAAATCAAAAAACCCTCCTCTCCTCCCCGGTGACTTTTTTTTTTTTTTTTTTTTAAATTTTTACATAGTTCTTGTGCTGTCTGGGGCCTTACACAGGGGTTTTGCATGGGTGGTATGGGCAGCCCCCAACACTGCAGTGTCCAATGGGGGTGTGCTGGCTGCAGCCTGGTGCTCTTTGTCACTGGGGTGCCAGCGGGGTTTGTAGGTCATCACAGCAAAATCCAAATGGGAGAAACAGATCGAGGGGCTGGGAAACTTTGAAGACTTAGAGTGCCATACATCAGCTTGAATGGGGATTGTGAGGGGTGAGAGGAAAGAGAAAACAACTGGGAAAGGACATTTAGCATCTGACAAGTTTTAATCACGTGAGTTGAAAATTAACTTGTAAAGGAAGTGTGTTCTAATGCTATTTCTAAAATGAACAAACCGATCCTGTTCCTGCTAATCTGAGCTTTCTTGATTTTGTTGTGGGGGAGAGACACACGCAGCAGCTGCTGTCCTGGCACAGAGTGATGCTCCCCAGTGCCACCCTGCACAGAGCAATGCGCTCCTCCATCAGCCCCAGCACTGCTCTGCCGCAAAGGGAGTGCAGGCGCTAATAGCCTCCTTACTAAGCCATGCTGAAACATTTGGGGTTTTAATTGCTAATTCTGGACCGGCTCCTTACCTTTGCATGCCCATACAAGCATGCCCCAGAAGAGAAAAAAACACCACCTACATTTTTCCTAGCAAAACTTTGTTCAGTTGTAAAAATCCACAAGGATGTCACTTCTTTTTTTTTTTTGGCAAACCTTCACTTCAGAGCTTTGAGAGCACAAAGGAGGTGACAGCAGGTTTCCCTAGGCAGCACTGCAGGATGCACATGCAAAGTTGGTCCTTCCCATATGTGCTGTGTACTTACATATAGATATATATGCATTTTCTATAGCCAGGCTTAGTGGAGCAGCCCATGGGGGCACATTAATCAAGCAGCCTGCCTGCCTGGTAGTGACAGATTGCTTTCAGCAGGTTCATCTAATGCACTTTTAGCCTGGCTTTACTTGGGTTAAACAAGTCCCTGACCTGCTTAAGGCTGACAAATGACTGGATGAGCTTGATCCTGCAGCCCATCAGGCTGGGTGGCCTGTGCAGCACTGAGCAGCAAGCTCCAGTGCTGGGATCCCCTGGAAATAGCTGCAGGAACCATCACTATGGTCATGGAGAGCTCACACTGTCTACATGCAGGAACTTCACTGTAGTCTCTGCAACCACAGGCAGGGCTTAGTTTTGTCTTGTGTGAAAAACTAAGCCTGGGTGGGAGCTGAGCCCATTCAGCTTGAAGCTGGGCAACAAATCAGCAGGGAGACCTGAACTGCTGCGCATCAGCATAGAAATGGGTATGATTTGGTGCATACACAGAAGGTAAATTGTAGAGAACGACAACAACAGAGAGCACAGAAAGAGCTGGAGATGGCTTCCACAAGGCAGGGAGTTAGGGCTGGCTGGTGAGGAGGGAGGTGCAGGGGGGTTTCAGGCTCAGAGGCTGGGATGAGCAGAATCAGCAGCCAGGCTGAATCCCTGTGGGAGCATCAAGATGCAACTACCAGCCACTCTGCAGGTACAGTCGTGTCTTCTGTAGAGGGTACCTGAGGGAACCTTGCTGTTTGAGAAGACCACACAACACCATCCGGGCAAAAAGGGAAGGAAGAAGGGTGGCTTTCTTCCGAGCCACCAACAGGGAGGGACCAGACAGTTTGCACAAGCTTTAGAAGCAATCCAAATAGCCTAAATAATCATCAGGCTGGATTCCTTTTGGACTGAGCAGTTGCTAGTGGTTGTTCAGAAACAAATACAAACCCCTCTTCACTCTCATCGAGTCATTCTTGAAGCACGAGATAAAGTTTATCCTCTCTGCATCTGCTGCCAGGGCAAAGGCAAGAGGCATTCACCACGGGAGTGCTTGAGAGCTCTGGATTCTGCTAGATGCTCAAGCCTGCCTCTGTTCCCATGCTTGGAAATGCTGTGGCCACGCATCTTACCTGGGAATGGTGGGGTCGGGAGGGATAGTGGGAGCAGCCAGAGGGGGGCCATCAGCCCTTCCTGCACTCACTTGCTGGGCTGCAATCCCTGTGCTAAACCGTTACCCAGACAAGGCAGGACGAGCATCCCTGGATGAAGGCATGTGTGGGAACAAGGGACTGACACCAGAAGCCAGTGCCGGCTCCCTCTGTGACAGTTTTGGGGTGGGAGCCCTGCCATTCCTGGCGTGTTTTTAATAGAACTTCAACTATATTTAGATCAAAAATAAATACATACTTGGCCTGGATATACGTTTCAATGCCTGATGAATGAGTGGGACCTCTTCCACAGGAAACTATAAAATTCCTGGGGAGATGGCTGGCCTCTGCCAGGGCAAAGGGAAGCAGAGCTCTGCCCTCCTGCTCTGCCTGCCAGCCTGTGCTCCAGCGTCTGCACTAGCAGAGCACCCGGGTCATTGCTGTTATTAATAACTGCACTACTAATTTTATTATTAATGCTGCATGGGAACAAGGCAAGAAACGTGATGATGTTCAAATCCTTATCCCGTGCTTTAAAGAAAGCAAAGCTTTGTAAGGTGCTGCTGTGTGAGAGCAGAGGCACCCTGGGTTGGCTTGACTGTCAGAGATGCTCTTTAGGGATGGCAGATGAGCATGGCTATTTTCATAGAATCATTGAATGGTTTGGGTTGGAAGGGAAGTTTTCTGCCATCTCCTCCTCTCATGCTCCCCAGCACCATAACTAGGGATGCTTGGGGGCCTTGCCTAGCTCCTTAATTTCTCTTTATGGACTTGCTGCCTAGGGAGTCATCCAGCATCCTCCTGGGCACCCGCACCCTGTGTGCCTGTGCAGCTGCCTGGAGTTACAGACACCACAAAGGCAGGCTGCAGCTCGAGCACAACTGTGTGTTTGCTTAAATTGGCTGTTACTTTGGTTGCTGCAGCATGTGTCTGATTAACTTGTTAGTGGATGCCCTGTCTGTGACTAAAAGAGCAAACTCTGCCAGGTGAGTCTAAATTTTCCCACTGCCCCCCTCCATAGCCCCTGGGTCTTTAAGGGTTTATAAAACAAGTTCAGTCCTTTGACAAAACAGCCCCCAAGTGCAATTTCATGCAATAAACATGATAAATTGTTCACAGGGGCTGTGCTTTCAGCTCGTGATCTCCTGTTCTTGGTGTCAGGGAAGTGCAGCATCACCAAAGACAGGAGGAGAATGGATTCCTGGTGGGTTTGGTTGGGCTCCCTGTGCTGACTCACTCCCTGCAGTCCCCTTCCACAGCTCTGTCCTCCTCCAGGGTCCTGAGCTCACTGGGATAGCTCAAACACCTCCTCCAGACCAGAGGGATGCACCAAAGCCACCCGTAGGGCCACCAGTGCCTGCTTCAATCCCAGGAGCTGCAGGCAGCAGCGTGGGACAGGGGGGGAAGGAGCTTCCCCCCTTCCTCAACTCAGTTTAGCCTCATCATGTGTTTTTGCTTCTAGCACCCATAAAATAATGTTTCCTCCATCTGCTAGGGCAGGTTCATCTCTTTACATTGAGAAAACAAAGGCATACTGAAGAAACTGTTCCAAAACCAGTATCTGCCCAGGGAAAAAAGAAATTCTCACAGCATTGATCTGTCCATCTGTCTTAGCACTGAGGTTCTTCACAGATTGACCTCCTGACACAGCCTGCCTTTGTGGAGAAAACTGCTCTGAATCAGGCTGCTTTTTCCTCTCATCTTTCCAGGTCCTGGTGGGTTTACTTCCAGTGTCTGAGGCTGCGCAGGGCTCCCGAGCTCTCAACATGGCCATTTCATATCTGTGTTTTGCGCTTGCTAATCACCAGTCAAACTCCCATTTTAGGGCATATTTTCACTGAATTGCTGCCTTATTTGGCCTTTTCCTCTCTGCGATTCCGGTGACATCACCCACCAAGCAGTCAATTCAAACCGCTATCACCCTGTGAATCCCTGTGCTGCAGAGCAAGGAGCCATGGGGCCGGGGGGGTTGTGGGGGCCACAGGGCCAGTGTCCCTTCCTGGCAGGGACCTGGGGACAGTGGGGCCATGAGCCTGAAATATAGGCTGGGCAGTGCTGGGATCTGTGTTTGAAGGGAGCTTTAAACCTTCCTTTGCAGCACAGAAACTGGGATGCACTGGGGCTTTGCTGTGCCACATCTTGCCCAGTGAAAAACCTACCTCCAACCACCTGCTGAGTCCTCTCTTACACGTATCTCCATCGTACACGGTGTGTTACAGAGCACACAGGGAGACGTGGGTGCC